AAAATTGAATTAAATTACGTAGAAGTGTACTTACAGTTGCTTATAGATCCTTCATTGGTGTCATTTGTAACATATGTAACCTTTCACAGGTTATGCTCCTGTAATTGTCACAGTTTTAAAATGTAACAATACAGTCATAGTATATTCTAAAACCAATTTTGATTCTTTTCTTAATTACTGTATCACAAGACTTTATAATTTAATTTTGCTGAGGTAGTTATAAGCATTAAAATTATGATGAATGTTTATTTCCTTATCCAGACAAATTATCACCTGCTTTTTACTGAAAATGAATCCTCAGTGTATCTTCATAGTTTGAACTGTATTGGTACATCTGAAAAAAAATTAATTTATTATTAATTATTTAAATAAAATAAATTTGCATGAATACATTATATACATATACACGGGCATATTATTTATATATTTTATTAAAGTGTGTAAATATAGCTTAAGTAAATTAAAAATTATGTTTTTTTTTCACAGTCAAACTGAATATAATGCCTTATAATATGCATGTGTTTGCATCCGTCTCTAATTTACACACAATTCCCCTGTTCCCTAAATACACTTTAGCACCCCCCCCCCCAAAAAAAAAAAACTAACACACACACACACACTAAACAACAATGTAGTCTGCACCCGAAAACACATACCCGGTATTAATTTTTTTCATTGCGTACACACAAACCTCTATATTTTTTTACCTGTGCCTAGGGTAGAACCATTCCTATTGATTTCCGGTGGCCGTATCCACTGCTTGTTAATGTTTTCTTCCATTTGCATCATAACGTATGGGTTTTCAAAATAGATTGAATCCATCCCTCTCGTCAGACATAATAAATTTTGTTCCAATATTTCACAAGACCTGTCTCTTTCATTTTCATTAATTGATTGATGACTTACTTTGTCACTCACAACTTAATTCCATTTTAAACAGTTGAAAATACATCATTTTTTCATATTGTTTATTACCCTGGTGTCTGTTTTGCCTCATGTTGTTAGAAAGTTCTTTTGACAGGAGAGTCAACCATTTTTGGTCTTTAGTGCAAAAGAGTCAGCAAAGGGAAATAACTCTCGGTCAATTTTCATGAAAAGTGATGATTTCAGGCGATTGGAAAACAACATTTAACTGATTTACCCACCTCAAATCTTTTTGTATCTTTTAGATCTAAGTTCTATCTTACTGAAAAAAATCTTTTATATCAGTTGAAATTGCCTGCAAAAATTTCTATGCATGTGAAGAAATAGGTACCTTTGTATTCATTTTATGACAATCTTCGTGTAAATTGATCTGTATTATATTATAAACCTTGAGTTAAATTGAATAAAATTGTTATGCCAAGAAACTTTGATTACTTAGCTATAAAATGAGACCCATGTTACGTTCTCAACTTTTCTATGCTTAAGAAGTATGGAATTATTTTGCATGGTGATGACAATTAGGTCATTTTCGCCATGGCAAAATATTTCAAGGCCGTTGCTATGGAAACCAAGGAAGCACTGTCCAAAATTTACCCACCTATATTCTTTATATAGGACACTCTTTAATATTATATTGATAAAATAAAATTCCATGATAGTGCGTGGCCAAGCATATTTGGTCCTTACAGAGAATTGATGTTAAGTTTTAAATGTAACGGCGAAAAAATATCGGAATTTTTGAAAGCATGCATGTGCACATTTATTTCAAAGTTTAGGTGTTATTCTCAAATGTTATTCTTGAAATATTACATGCATTTATATTTACCTGAGTGAAGAAATACACTTATGGATGGAAATTGGGTGATGAAAATTATCTAAATCTCAGATAATAATCATTTTTTGTGAAAAATGAATTTTGCCATGTACAAAACCAGCTTTGCCTGTCAGTTTGTTTTGACAAACCTTCCAACATGCATTTTTTGTATGTCCAAATTGTATATACTTTATGTAACATGCATGACACATGTCATAGAAAACCATATAATGTCCTTGGCATTACTAACCGAGTTTTGGATCTGTGTTCCAGTGAGTTTCTCGGCCTGATGTTTGATGCTGATAGAAAATACGTGTTCCATTAGAAGTGAAGCGATCGATCTCAGACAATATGCGATGAACAGATTTAAGTGAAGAGTTCTTATCTTTGATCGTGGTCTTTTAGAACCTATACTAAAAAAGGAATTTTAAAGTTGATGTCTTATTATTAAAATTTATAAGTATATTTTCTTATACAATAAACAGAATTTAAAATATATATTTGTTCTTTGTACTCAGGAAATATCCCGGTGATCTCCCCTTAACTTTATTTGTGTTATATACTTATTGTCATTTAATAAATGACAATTCTCACTCAGTATACATTGTTTTTTTATATTTCAACTATTGGGGTAGTCTAGCCAGATCACTAGGGTTACATAAATATACATGTACGTATAGTAGCATGCTTTTGCCTTTAATATTCACCTGTATCTGTGTTTAAGGAGCATAACCACAGCAATAATTAATGATATAATAGACAGCGTATAACCCGCCATAGAAATAGTCTGTATGTGATATAGGTTTGTCTGAAGAAAAAAAAAATAAAATCTTAATAAAAATAGGCAATATATATGATACAACATTATAATAGATGTTATGCATTAAAAAAAGTATGAGTACATGTTTTTATACTATCTCTTTCTCTCTCAATTCAACATCCCTTTTGAAGCAAAATCGTAAGAAAGTATTCTTGCCTGCCAAATTCCTATATCTATAATATGTTACTAGTAACCTGATACTTTATTTGTTACTCATCTCTTTAGGTTTGCCCGATCACGACAAGGCGCCCACTGCGGGATTAATCAGTCTAAAGGAATGCTTTCTCCTTCAACCAAGGTTCTTGAGTGCCATCTGTTTTCAAAGGCCGTTTTGGCTCCGCTTACAATCTATATAGTTTTTAATTGATTTTTAAGCTTGATTACCCTTTGTTATCTATATAATTATTCAAAATTATATACTATATTTTAAGGAATTAAACAAAAAAAATTAATTGATTTTAAAGCTAGATAACTATGAGCGGCGGAAAGGGTAAAAAAAAAAGGCGTTCATGCAAAACTAACAACTAATTTTATAAACATAATGAAATACAAAACAAACAACCTTAAAAACAAAATCAACAGACTCGTTTGCAAATCAACAGACTCCGATGCAAAACCAACGATCACCAATGCAAAACCAACGATTATTCACTGAATTGTCGCTAGATGGCGCAGAAGTTTTTCTACGTCATCATTATTTGTGTACTTTCATAGGAACGTAAATCCTATGAAATTATATCAGGATCCAATTGGCAAACCTCGGAATGTATTATAGAATATATTATCGATATCGAAATCATATAATTTTTAGTATATCCATAGACCTAAATCGTTTTAGGTCTATGGTATATCGGAATACATATAATAGGGGATCATATACTATGTATACATTATTAGGAAAATCAGTAGTATATGGGGCCTGGGGGCACAGAGTCTGCAGGGGGGGTGAAATTGAATTTGAGCATGAATTAATTTTATGGCCATTTAGAGAGCATAAATTGCATTGCGGAACCATTTTCTGTGTTAGTCAAAATGCACATAGGACAAGGTTTATTGCGCATACCATGGCAAAGATGCCACTTGACTACACCTTGTACAGGAGAACATTTAATTAACAGTGTAAATTTTTTTAACGGTTTCAACTATACTGAAGGGAAAAAGAAACGCATAGTAAACTTTTGAATAAAATTAAAACTATCCTTTCGAATATGTTTTCCAGATTTATTATCAAACATTTTAATTCATGTTTAATCAACAAGTTACCAAAATCTTGTGAGACTTTGACTGAAACTTCACGAGTTATTGCATGATATTGATATGTCGATACACTCCCCCCCCCCCCCCCCCCCCCCCTTTATAAAATAAAACAAATTATCATCATCTCCCTTGCGCATCAGTAACAGCTTTGATTATCCTGTTCATCAGAGCATTTATCTTTCTTGTATCATATAATTCATATATGTACAGGCGCAGATCCTGGCTTTTTTTTTGGGGGGGGGGGGGGGGGTCCACCCAGTAAAAACAATCTAGCCCATAATTTTCTTGACAAGCAAAAAAAACAAATAAAGCAAACAAATAAACAAGCAAACAAACATAAACTCCTTTTTATAAACATGAAAAATCCATTTTGGGGAGGGATGGGGTGAAGTTAACTTTTAAAGCTTCATACATGTGTAGAGACCTAGTACTTTAGCCACTTAGCATATTCGCTTATTTGATGAGGGGTCAGCGTTCATACGTACTTTATCTAAGTATCTGGGCAGTATACTGTACAATAAAATGATTTTATATGAACTTATTGAAGAGTGTAAGGGGATTTTTTTCTTTCAATAAAATTCTCTTGGGGAAAAATACCAATATCTGCTTCTGGTTTCTTGTAATATATTTACAGTCGTTTGTAGATGTCTTGCTGCCTCAATGTTTGAATTTCTAAAAGTCCGACATGATGCTATCATCTGAGGTTTGCCAAATGGATTTAGGATTTGGACCCATACCACAATTAGCTTACATATATGTTTTTTACTTATATAATAGTAAAAACATGTGCTTTGTTTTCTTTGTAACTTTTTAAAAAAAGATTCATTTCCAAAATATTTTTACCGCATGACAGAGCAATGCAGGCACGTAGCATCTCGTTTTTGAAAGGGGGGGGGGGTAGCCAGAGAATTTTTTTATCTGCTTGAAAAAGTTCACGAGAAAAAAAAGGGGGAACTTGCCCAAAGTCTAAAATCAACCAGATTTTCGCGATCGATTAACATTTCCTATAGTAGAAGTAAGGTTGGGGAAAAAAGGGGGGGGCAGCCCCCTCCTGTTCCTACGTGCCTGCAATAAAATATTCACATAAAAATAGGGATGTTCAATGTGGAAATTCCTGGTTATTAATAAACTTCTGACGTCATGGCCTCCGAATAGCTCTCGCTTGGCTTAAAAAACCAAATGACCTCTCATTTCAATAATTTTTCTATGCATAATTTATGCTTGAAATGCACCTTGATGCATATCATTGTAAACTTTGGACATTAAACTTCTATTCTAAACCCAGAAAAATCATAAACATGTGAAGCTGTTTTTATTTTTATCATCGAAAGGGAGGCATACGAATTTCCTTCATGTGCTACATTTCAGCCTTTTGACCTTCACTCTTTAATTGTGGCCCTGATCCATTTACCTTTCTATGAAAGTACAAAAATAATGATGACGTAGAAAAACTTCCGCGCCATCTAGCGTTAATTCAGGTAATGTATGTTATTTTGCACGCCATCTAGCTAGCGACAATTCAGTGAATAAGTGTTGGTTTTGTATTGGTGATCGTTGGTTTCGCATCGGAGTCTGTTGATTTGCAAATAAGTCTGTTGATTGTCATCTCCCTCGGGAGATGACACATTAAGATTGTATGCCGGAAGCGAAGTCCTAGTGTAAGCCTCCATTAATCTTTCGGGAATCCTCGAGTTTTACAATATCTCAAGTGAGAATCTACACAAGGAGTTCCAAGTAGCATGTACACTGGTTTCCTTTTAGAAGAACTAGCTAAAAAGTGTGTGATCTACTTTCGGTTTAGGCCTATTTGAAGAAAGCCAAGGAAAATTTAGAAAAGAAGTACGATGCTTATAAATATCTATAGGTTCGGTGTGTCGTATCTATATATATTGAATCTCAATTTTGAGGCCACCCGAGGATCACCGACTGTCAGTTTGATGATGATGCGATTTTTCTAAATATAGATTGAGATGTAAACAATGAGCGCTAAAGAGGCCTTATTATTCAGAAAGAAAACAAGCTGCACAGAAATCAAAGAGAGTCCGACACACATCGCCTGGGTGGTGGGGGTTCGTCAAAATATACATGTGCACTGTACATGTATGTTCTCATGCATAGTCTTCTTGGTTATTGCGTAAATGATGGTCAGAACTTAATAGAGTCTCCTAACTATGTCAGCGCATGTGTAAAGATCCTCTGCGGCTTACGCGTGGATCCAAGAATTCACAGATAAACAGCATCAAATTTAAAACATTCATATAAGTAATCGCATTAACTGATATGGATTGATGGTGAAAACTCTAATTATTTGGTTTATTAGTCATTCTATAAAATTGCAGTTATTTTTTTAAAAATAATACAAGTCTGATTAAGCGATCGAATGTATAAAGAGTAAATTAAGAAACTTCAGAAATTAGAAGCACATATTATTAGCGGATACATTGATGTCAAAAAGAAACTAAATACACTGGAAGATTAAAGATCACACAGAATCAATATGAGTATTTTCTTGTATGTCTAATTCTATTCCTTTTTAAGGAGTTTTCATGTTTATAATTAAAGAACTTGCAATGAATCATTTTCTTAATGCAGTTTTAATTGCATTAATGGCAACAAAGACATCAAATCATTTTCTCCTATATTATTGAAATGAGGCCAAAATTATAATTATACAGAATTGTTTAAATTTAGTATGCAGAAAAAAGTTTACTCTCGTAAGTTCAGAGTTTCCAAATGAGGACTCTTTCCAGATAATTTGAAAATACTTAATTTTGGTAGAGAGCATTTAAATGTTATTACTTGCCTAATTTTAAAAGCACGTGTGCGTTATTTCTTTGGATAATGTAAGTGTGTATAAAACGAAGGTTTCATATTTTAAGACTTATGTGCTTTGCAAGTTAATGCCGTTGATCATGCTGATGGCAGTTTTCACTATCTTGTGCTTTATTTTGACAGTACCGTGTGCATGTGCTTATATTTTATAAAGCCAAAAACTGAATTACCGGTATTAAATCTTATGGATATTTTAGACACAAAATTTCACAAGATACAAATGACATTCATAAAGTGACAAATAATTTTTTTCAAAAACATTATTTTAGTATCAATAGTTCAGTGTGAAATGCTTTCGGAATATATGAATCATGATATTATTCAGATACATGTAATTTAGGAAAATCGAATCTACAAAGCTGTGCCCTAGCTCTTTTAACCCTGTATTGTTGTAATTGTTCACTGCAACCCCCCCCCCCCCATCCACACTGTTTGTTGAAGTATATAGTCATGTACTTCCCCCCAAAAAGTTAAAATATTTCCTTCCTATCCACAGCATAGGATTTTGGAGTTTGATCATTACTCTTTTTTCCCAATCTAAAATTGTTCATGTAAACTACCACTACCCATCCCTAGAGGAATATAACTGAGAAAAAAAAGTTACACTTTACTGTTTATTCTTTGACAGTAACGAAGCCAAAGAGATGACATTTCAGGCTTTCTAGAAAGCCAAACTTGTTTTGTTTTTAAGATTGTTTGTTTTGTATTTCATTATGTTTATAAAATAAGTTGTTAGTTTTGCATTAACGTCTTGTTTACCCTTTCCGCCGCCCATAGATAGCCCTTTGTTATTTATATAATTATTCAAAATTATAATATTATATTTTAAAAAAATTAAACATAAAAAATGCCCTGAAAATTTGATTATCAATATGTTAAACTTAGGTTACGCGGAAGCTACCAGAAACTAGCTATGGAGATTTTAAAAAGGGAATTATGCCCTCATGTACTTTTCTGTTGCGGAGATAATTTGAATTAAAGTTAGAAATGTTGTATCATTAATTAGTCCCATCATATACCTATTTCTGGGCTAAATAAAAAAATATTACATCTTTCAAAAGTGTCCAGTAGAAAATTTATTAGCTTACTTTTAATAAATTTTGATTGGCTTCACTTTCCATACAATTGTGGGAGTCTGCAGTCCAGGTAGTGTTTGTCTCTGGATTCTGGTACCACGTACCATCATTTGTACAAGTCTTTTTAGCAACACCTATAATATACAGATTGCTTAATTTTAATTATAAAATTTCAAGGAAAGCCCAAACTTATCAGAAACCATAATAATGAGATATAGTTTTATGAACTTGGGAAAGCATCAATTTTAATTTGATTTTTCTTTAAATCAGAACAGAGTACATTACACGAATATGAAACCTTTAAAAAGTATTATTTGAGATTTAAAGTGTTCATTTGACTTTTGGTTTTTCATTTACCATTGAAAAATATAAAATAGGAGACTCTCTTACATGAACTTTCAAGAATTTCTGATCTGTCAAGATTATAAATTGAGAACAAACTTTTAAAATTATTTTAACTTAGAAATCAGTATACTGTATACAGGGTAATTTTCGCCCCCGTTTTATTTTCGCCCCTTTCGCCCTAGCCTCATTTGGGCGAATTTAAAACGGGGCGAATTCATATAATACTGTATAAGTACTTAAACAAATTTTTGACAGGGCGAATTTAAAACGGGCAAAATTGTCCGCAAGTGTGAAAGGGCGAAAATAACCCTGTATATAGTATGTTTACACATGAATGTTATACATTTTGTTTTCTAATACGTTGATAAAATAAAAGTCAAATAAACTTATAATAATGTTAATTTTTACTTTTGATGTTTTTTTTTAGTTTATGGGTTTTGGGCCTCACCACTTTAAGCAAATACATTTTTTTTAAAAAAAAACTTAAGTTAAATATTTAATTTTTTAATATGAATTACTGTGGTTTCATCAATTTTCGTTTGCATCAATTTTCGCGGATTTTGTAAAACGGGTATTTTCGAGAACACGTAATTTCATGGACAAAAACATTGCCTATACAAATGAATATCATACATGTATTTCTTAATTCAATGAACATTTGAATTCGTGGATCTGTTCAACAACGAAATCCTCGAAAATTGATGCTCAACGAATATTGATGAAACCACAGTATTTAATATTCAGATTTGTGATCAGTTTATAAAGAACTTACCGGTATAATGTAGTATGAAATAAATTTTTAGATCCGGACTAACCATTGATGAGGAATCTGTCTATGTAACTAGGGCATGGTGCCGAAACAGTGGTTCCAGGTTTGGCAGACTTCCAACACATTATATGATCCCAGATAGGTGGACATAGTAATTCTGTAAAAAGAAAAATTAAAAAGTCAACTAAATGTATCCACTGATATCAATTGTATTAATATATAAAATGCCATCAGGTGAATATAAGCTAGAGGTCTGTAAGAAGTCAACAAAATTTATCTACTGGGGCAATCTTATTATATGATTCAAAACAGATGGTTTTTGAAAATCTGATTTTAAAAAAAAACGTCCACTAATTATTTACTGATATAAGTCTCATTATATGATCCCATACGTGTGGATAAAGGAGGTCTGTAAAAGAAAATTAACTAACATTTTATACTGAAATCAACTAAATTTATCTACTGAAGTCAAATGACTACAAGCATCAATCTTATGATATGATCCCATACATGTGGATAAAGAAGACCTGTCAAAAAAGTCAACTAAATCTTCTGATAAAAACTCATTTAGCAATGAAACTGCAAAGAAATCATATTCTTTTATGACTTAAAGTAATCTTTTCATTATTAAAGTTTCACCAAATCTCTTGTAAAGAGAAATCGGGCATACAGAAGGAAATAAAATTTTGAAAAGGGAATTTTCAGAAAAAAATTAAATACTGGGTGAAGCATCAGTGTTTGTGTGATAATAAAATTTGTAGATTTATTTGGCCACCCTTAACCATGATTTTACATCTTAACAAACAATTATTTTTCCTACATTTTTCAATACTATGTCTGTATCTACGAGTTACCCATTAAATAACTTCACCACGAAGAAATAAAACGTTGCTCGCCCAAAAACATTTACCCCCCCCCCCAACCCCCAACCCCCACCCCCACCTCCGAGTTAAAATGATTTTACAGTATAAGATAAAATAAATAGGATCTCTGATTACCTTTAGTTGGTCCATGTTTTTGTATCGTTACGTTACAAGTCTTTTCTGCTTCTTCGATACCATGCCATTGCTCAAGTAATGATATTTTATATTCCTAGGAAATAAATAATTTCTTTATCTATGGTCAGCGTAATATATTTACATGTATAAGATTTGAATTTTCTA